AGTAATTCCTTTAGAAGTATGTAGTAACACTTGAGTAATTACTAGTTAGTTACCATGATCTTCACTTTAGAATACGGATCCAAATAATTAGTCATTCCTTTAGAAGTATGTAGTAACACTTGAGTCATTACTAGTTAGTTACCATGATTCTTACAGTAGTTCTCTGGGAAGAATAAAAAAAAAGTAGTTATTGATTAGTTAATAGTGAACTACCACTTTCATCTGTGCGCTGTTACTTATTAATTTGTTAATCAGAATTTCTTGTTAGTTAATAGTAGTTACTAGATTGTTAATATTGTGTTACTCATTTGTTCCTGTGTAGTTATTCATTAACGAAGGAACCGTATTCTAAAGTGTTACCAAAGTTCCTTCTACTTTGACAAAAAGTTAATAACATTGTGCAAGTAATAATAAAAAGTGAAGTCTTCTGAAGAGACACGTTCGCTTTATATGATGAACCGGTTTTAATTTGGGCTTTTATTTACATATAAACATTAATCAACTCGCATACCAGAGCACATCAAATATGGTCAACGGCAGCTCAACTGCACTTGCTTGTAGTAGTCATTGATGTGAAACTTTACGCCATGTATGTACACTGCCATTTAGTGTATGATTTTTTGTCATATCAAATGGAACACATTGTTTTTTTAATATACAGGAACATTTGCTGTTCCATTTGAAGGAAATAATGTTTTAAATGCACATGATGTATTGCTGTTAGCTTTAGCATGTTTAGCCTTAATAGCCCCATCCACCATGTAGGGGAAGGCTGTGATAAAGTGTCCAACTTTACACACTTCAGTTTTCTCTGTTTTTGCATTTTTCTGTGTGAACTTTCTGTGTGAACACACTACTCACACTCTTAAGGCCTGTTCACACCAAACACTATAACTAACTCATTTTAATAATAATTTTAATTCTATGAGAATAGGGAAGTTCACACCACAACAACAATAAAAAAACAAGAGGAACACATTTTTGAAAATCATTTGAAGAATGATTGTTTTCTAAAATCCACAGGCTTTAAAGAGCGTGAGCGTATGCAGATGACAAAACTGCACAGCACGCTTATAGTAAACAGAACATTGTTGAGCGTTCATGTGGAAGCTTGTTATTGTTATCTTTATAGTTAGTTATATAAACTGTTCTTAGTGTGAATTATTTTTGTTCCAAAAAATGACTTTCTCTTACCAAACAAACCTTGCTAGGATATAACCTCTTGTTAGCCAGTTAGAAGCCACTCCCAGCTTTGTGTATACAAATTTATCCTGTTTTGGCCTACCATATAGCCAGTTAAAATTTGCTGGTTATCGCTCAAAAAGTTCAAACAACACAACAGTGCTAAGTGACCAAACTTGGAGATTAAGAACGTGGTGAGCTTCTAATATCATGACATAAGAATGCCAAAGCAGTTAATCATATAGCCTTATCACTATCACAATATCATTAGCAGGGCGTAGGTTCACACATTGACAGACTTCCTGACAATACAAAGCTTGAAAGAGAAAACAAAACCAATCGGTTTAAAAATAAAACATTTATAGTGATGTTCAGTCTAAAGATCCTTATCACTGCATGAAACTGAACTGATTCAATGACCTTCCCTTTTCTTTTTCTTTCAGTTTAATATGAAACGTTAGGGAAACTGCAGCGTTACACATCTATGACCAACATGTTCTATGGTGCAGCTAACGTCACTGTGACCAATTAGCTTAGCCGCAGGTGCCTGCTTATCTGAGAGGCACAGAAAACTCCGGGGAAAAGAATTTAAGACTCCTGCAAAGCAAACAAGGCTGACGAGCAGACAGATGGAATGAAGAGTATGAAAGGGGTGTAAACTTCCATATCGAGACTTTATTATCAGTTTAAAAATCAAGTAGACTGTAAGCATAAGTCATTTACAGGAATAGGCTACAATGCTATGCTACTTGAAGCTAATGGAAGATAAAGAGGATAGTTCACCCCAAAATGAAAATTATGTCATTAATTACTCACCCTCGTGTTGTTCCAAACCCTTAAGACCTTCATTCATCTTCGGAACACAAACAAAGATAGTTTTGATGAAATCCGAGAGCTTTCTAACCCCTCGTAACGACAACTTTCAAGGCCCAGAAAGGTAGTAAAGACATTGTTAAAATAGTCCATGTGACTACAGTGATTCAACCTTAATGTTATGGAGCGACGAGAATACTTTCTGTGCGAAAAACAAACAAACAAAAACAACGACTTTATTGAAGAATTTCTTCTCTTCTGTGTCAGTCTCCTATGCTGTTGACGTAGTAAACACACTGCAGCGCTTCCGGGTTCTACGTCAGAACGCCTGTTTTGTATTGGCCAGCTCCTGCGTCAGCATCACACGGATGCGTCATGGTGCTCACATGAACTGCGTCGGCCAATTGAAATCGGCGTTCTGACGTGGAACCCGAAGCGCTGCAATGTGGTTACAACATAGGAGACTGACACAGAAGAGTCTCCTTTGTTCCGAAGATGAACAAAGTTCTTACGGGTTTGGAACGACATTTTTGGGTGAACTAACCCTTTAAATGAAAATGCAAGAAAGCATGTATATGTTTATCACTTACACTGTCATTTGAAAAGGTTTGGGGAAAAAAAGTTTTTGAAAGATGTCTCTTAAGCCAATCAAATACTGTAAAAACAGTAGTATTGTGAAATATTATCACAATTCTAAACAACTGTTTTCTATTTTAATATAAATGTAACTTATTCCTGTGATGGCAAAGCTGAATTTTCAGCATCAATACTCTCTGTCTTCAGTGTCACATGATCCTTCATAAATCATTATAATATGCTGATTTGATGCTCAAGAATCATTTCTTACCATTATCAATGTTGTGCTGCATAATATGTTTGTTTGATGAATAGAAAGTTAAAAGAACAGCATTAATTTGAAATCTCCATAAATGTATTTATTTAATGCATCCTTTGTGAATTAAAGTATTAATTTCTTTAAAGAAAAATCTTACTGACCACCAACTTTTGAACAGTAGTGTACAATAGAACTACTGAGAGTTTTGGGGTGATAAATAGAAAGTCTTAATGGTGGGTCTCTGTACAGAGACATATCTGAGTGTCTGTGGGCTGGTGGTGAGGACAGGTGTCAGACCAGGCTGGGCCCACATGTCAACGCTCCCCAGGGAGAGCGAAAGCGGCTCAATCCTCCCTCCCCCTTCAAGCCTCGGCTTCTCTCTTTGAATGGAGGAAGAGGAAGAATGGGGGGTGAATGGCAGGTGATCCTGTCTGAGGACCATTAATAACCCTTCAAAATTGTCTCTGCCTTCATCTGCACAGCACTGCTCTGACCAGAGCAAATCTGGCTGCCAAACTAGTTAAACAACACAATAATTACTTTATGTGAATTAGTGAAGTTAATATTAGAATGCTTTCTGATTGACTAGAAAATTGTACACTATGGTGTCTAGATAATTTCCTTTTCTAATAGTGATCAAACCTTGAATCATATAGGGTATAACATTAATTTACACGTTTTTTGGATGTTGCATTTATACCATAGGTGGTAAAACAAGTCTAATCTGATTCAAACTAAAAGCTGAATAGATCCATCCTGGAATAACCGATATCCGTTTCATATGAAGAAAAACTAGTCATGGTACAAAGTAAATTATTTCAGGATTTATTGTATGAAAAAATATATATTTCTGGCCTTGTGACAAAAAGGCACAATACATAAACATATATACATTTATCTTTTATAAATACTAATTATTTACAATCCAATTAAATAGTACGAATATTTTGTACAATATTGCATTGTTAAATTAAGAATGACAATATAAAATATAAAAGTATCTATTTTGGTTTAAATGGTTTAAAAAAAAATATTAGGAAACAAATGCCACATAAAAAAAACAAATAAAAAGGAAAAGGAAAAATGAAAAGAAAAACAAAAATTCTACTCTTGATGATACGTTTTTGTTTTTGAAAAAGACCCTAATGCAGAGGTTCACAAAACCAGGAAATCTTGACAATGATGAGGCTATCAGTTTGAACCCACTGGTCCTTTCGAGCCCTGGGAATGTCGGAAATAGCTTAGCAGCAGTGAACGTTGACAGGATGAAAGCTGTACACAACAACATCCATCATGCACTGCTGTTTAAACAATTTGAACCCAAGCCATTTTCTCGGTGAAAAACATACTCCTGTATTTAAAAAAAGTGAGTTTTTTTAGTGTTTCTAAGGAGTACCTTCTTCGTTGAGCTATAACACATTAAAAGACGAGGCACTTAATCAAGATTAGGTTTGGTTTGAGTGAGCATCACTGATAGTCAAATCCATTGTAGGCACTATGTAAAAATCACAGCCATAATAAACTGTAGATTCCCAAGACATTTGTTCACAGCCGAAACAGCTTGTTTCGATAACTTTGATTGCTTATCATCACAGATCTATTTATAAATAGCATTTCGAACCATATCCGAAAAAATATAAATTATAAAATACTCTATGGTCACAGTTCCAGATCCTTCAGTTGCACCTCCTTCACCCATAAGGCTGATTGACTGGGCTTCATGTGATTTATAGAGTGAGATGAACTTCAGGATGTCTGCTTTCTTCCTTTTCAAGGCTTCTGTGATTAATGAATCCTTGTTTCTTCTCAGCTCTTCCAGAGAGTTCTTGTTCTTTATGTACATTTTAAATATGATGAAATATATATAAATTCTATTTGGGCCATTTAAAAAAAAAAAAAAAGAGGAAAAGAAAGTAGTGCAAATAATGCAAGTCTTCAAGTCTCTTGCTTTGTCTTCGCAAAATGTCCATATCAAAAAGTAGTCCTTTTATTGAGCAGCATGAATAAATAAATAATATAATGCAGATATAATATATACTCTCTTCACGTCTTCCTTTTGTCCTTTAAGACTGTAAACATTTTGGGGGTCGGGCCCTCTGGTGATTAAGGGACTAAAAAAATACAATTGTTAAACCTGAAGAACGAAAAGAGTAGGAAACTATTAACGTACTTTCTTTGAAAAGAATCACACTGAAATCATAAATAACAAATTGAGAAAATGTCTGGAGAGGCTTACCTCAGTAGCAAATACACATTGTTCTATGTGTTCAGGGATGATGTACACAGGGTGATACACTCCCTCTTTCGGATAGTTCAAAGGTGGAACTAACAATGTAGATTCAGAGTTTTTCCTGAAATGAAGAACGCATCAACGTTAGATTTGCACATTTGGTGCCATCAAATAAAAGCCGGAAAACATGAACACGAACTTACATGTCTAGCTTGTTGTTAGTAGGTTTTTCGTCAATGCTCAGATTGTAGTCCACCATCTTCTGCTTGTAATTTGATTGCGTGTCCACGGTGGAAGATCTGAATGCCACATCCTTATTGGACACCTTAAAAGGACCACCAGGAATGAGGAAGGCCTCCTTCTCTCTACCTAATGTCGAGGACGGGTTCAAGGAGACACGGTTATTGATGGACTCCAGGTCGTTGCGCACGGTGGTCGAGGTGACTTTGCAGTCTTGTCGCATCTGTCTCAGCACCACGATGGCGGCGCAGATCACAAGAGTGAGAGTGATGAGGCCTAGAGTAAATGAGACCACCATGGCCGCTGGAAGAGAAGGGCTGGTCACAGGGGGCTTCTCGTTATACTCGCATCGTGTTCCCATGAAACCTGGCGGGCACTCGCAGACGGGCCCGGAGAAGTGGGTGTAGCAGGTCCCTCCGTTCTCACAGGGCATGCGGCTGCAGGCATCAGAGCGGACGCTGCAGTATTTGCCTGAGAAGCCAAGCGTGCATGAGCAGGTGTAGCCGTTGATGCCGTCCACGCAGGTGCCTGCGTTTTGGCAGGGGTTACTTGCGCAGTCGTCTATGTTTGTATCGCAACGTGAGCCTGTGAAGCCGGGGCGGCATCTGCATGTCAGTCTGCTACCCAAATCGAGACATTGGCCACCTTTAAAAAAACCAGAAGATGTTAAAATCAAAAACTATGTTAACGTATTAGCCTACAAATAAGGAGAGGTGAACTGAATAAGGGCAAGGGAGTAAACCAGAGCAATTATAACCCCTGGGAATGCAATGGTACATTTTTTAGACTAATAAAGGTCTATTGCTTTATGACAGCTCTATCTCGCCATTCTTATCAGTGTAAGAGCCTCACTGGCGTCTTTTCTATCATGCATGAGTAGTACGTCATGCACTGTGGAGTGTGGATGCATCTCAAAACAAAACAAAACTGAAGGATCAGCAGGTTGCCTGAGGCGGAGGACGATGGAATGCTGTGGTGGACGAAGTACACAAATCAAGTACTCAAGTAATCTTTTATTAGGGTATCTGTACTTTTGCTGGAAGTACTTTTCAATTTCACTTGAGTAAAAGTACAAAAGTACTTGAACGTACTTAAGTATTAAAAAGTACCGTTTGATTTATTTAGCAAATTTATACTCCATTCTACGGAGTATAAGCATTTAATACTATGGGCTTAAACACCTCACCTTTTACAGCAGATTTAAATTTACAAACAACTGACAGTCGTGACCTAAATATGATTTTCATTTACAATAATAAATCCTAAAATTTGCCATTAGTAACTTACTTTTCACCCCATCAGTAGCGCACACTCAATCTCCGAGGATCCCGTTCTTGGCTCGTTTTGAGTCTGACTTGTAAATTCAGTGAATTGTTAACTGGAGGCTCAATTGAATGAGTGAGTCGTCGACTCGAGAACAGATGCAATCGGATCAGTCCAATTCACAAATTAATAATTCTGTGCGATTTGCGAACCGATTTAACAGGTTCATTGAAAAGAATCAGCTTATTCCACGAAACGGACACCGCTATCACGTCTCGGAGCTGGTGACGATTTCTTCAGTTCAAAATAACGAGGAACGACATGCTTTTATGAAATGCAGTGGAGTAAAAAGTAAATTATGCTTTGGAATGTAGTGAGGTAAAAGTAAAGTTTCCCTAAAATAAAAATACTCCAATAAAGTACAGATACTAGAAAAATGTACTTAACCCCTTAAAGGGTTAGTTCACCCAAAAATGAAAATTCTGTCAGTAATTACTCACCCTCATGTTGTTCCAACCCCGTAAGACCTTCGTTCATCTTTGGAACACGAATTAAGATATTTTTGATGAAATCTGAGAGCTGGATCCCTCCTCCATAGGCTTCTTCAGGGATTGAACTTGCCGGCCTCGAAAAGTTATTAAAGACATTGTTAAAATAGTCCGAGTGACTACAGTGGCTCAATCTTAAGTTTATCAAGCGACGAGAATACTTTTTGTGCGCAAAAACAAACAAAAATAACGACTTTATTTCAACTATTCATGTCCATCTCCTTGGGCCTCGAGTCAGTTCACTAGTGTAGTAGCGTAAGCTTCTGTTGTTGTACGTCACACGCATCACGCACATGACCAGCGTCGGCCAATAGTGAGCCTACGTGTGACGTAGCTCTACGGAATCACACTACGTTAACTGACTAGAGGCCCAAAGAGAAGGACATGAATAGTTGAAATAAAGTCGTTATTTTTGTTTGTTTTTGCGCACAAAAAGTATTCTCGTCGCTTGATAAACTTAAGATTGAGCCACTGTAGTCACTTGGACTATTTTAACAATGTCTTTAATAACTTTTCGAGGCCGGCAAGTTCAATCCCTGAAGAAGCATGGACTAGTATGGAGGAGTGATCCAGCTGTCAGATTTCATCAAAAATATCTTAATTCGTGTTCCGAAGATGAACGAAGGTCTTACGGGGTTGGAACAACATGAGGGTGAGTAAATACTGACAGAACTTTCATTTTTGGGTGAACTAACCCTTTAACTGTCACCGTCCCGTATACAAGACGCCTAAATTTACCTCGCTATATTACTATTAAATCCTAATCTAATTATGACAAACTATATATGGTTGGAAAGGTCTAAGACTCCTAAATAGATATTTGACTGCTGTTTTTTGCTACAAATTATGTAGGAAGAGTAACCCCTAATTTTTTATGACAAGAGTGCACCTCAAAAAAATCTGCGTCATAACAGGAGTTCTGACCTTTGTCACAAAAAGTTGACGCACACACCTTTAATAATTGAAACTTTGGTTTTCATGTTAAAAGTTCATAATAAAACATATAATCTAGTATTTTTCAATAAATTATAATATAATATTATCCTCTAAAAAGTATAATATATTATCCTCTAAAATATAATAATATCTTTTTTTATCGCCTTTTTTTAATTACATCATATATTTTAGTAGTTATCATAAATTGGGTATCATTTGAAAGCTTACAAACTCAGAATACATCCTGTGAAAACCATTTTGAAATTGAACGTTGCGTTACCATAGAAATGGTACTCTAAATTATTTTATAAGGCTCCTCCCCTTTTGGGCTTTATTATATTTCATAATTTATGATCAAAACCTTTTCTAATCTTGACAAAACACATATTGTCAGAAAGGTCTAAGTCTCAAGGTTCCAAATTTTGTGACAGAATTGATATTTGGACAAAATTGTATTAATTTGTTAAGGCAGAATGTATAGAGCTGGTAAGTCCCACCCATCCGTAAAACTCCAAGTGGACCTCTAGGTTGAAAAAGCGTCAATGCAAGTGAATGAGAGAAAATAATTATTTTCTGATCCCGTTTGAATTGTGCCATGAATGTGAACATATGTTGTCTGTGAATTTTTTATATAATTTCTAATGTAACGAGTTTGTGTAATGATTCTTTGGCTAGCAGTTGTGGAATAGACATAACGAGAAAGACTACACGTCGCATATGTGACGTCACCGCATAACACATTTTCCCTCCACAAATCACGGTGCGATAATCTAAGGAATTAGATCGAGATGCCTGTGTGTTTTGTACCCAAATGTCACCATTCAAACAAAGGCATGTTTAGCGGGATCCGTGTGCTAGTGGTGGTGACGTATACAGGGATTAAAGTGAAAAAAATTCTTCTGACTGAAATTTTTTTCAGGCCAAGTCATATTCCTGTAACTTTATTTAAATAGTCGAGACCAATAGCGTTTTAAGGGAAGATGTTTAAAACCGATCTAATATTGAGTAATTTAAAAGCTATTTTAATCTATGAAAAACAATTACTTATCTTGACAAACAATCAACCATCTACATAACTTTTCAGTGCATGTTTTTATTTATCTTATGAGACCAAACAATGCTAAACTATATTAATATATAGTTTGTGCCATGGCAAATTGTTTTGGCTGAGGGCAAAGTGAAGTTTTATAACTTTATTATGTAGGCTATATTTAACTTTAACTTTGTAGCCTATTACAGAGCTGACTTATGTTTAATTGAATTGTTTGCTTTATTTCTCATTGTATAGCTTATTATAGCCTACCTATTAGGCTACTACTTTTGAACGGGATATTAGCATTAAAACTGACATTTAACAAAAAAGAGACATGGTTGTGTAATTTTATATATTCTAAAATATATAAAATATTATATTACTATGCATTCTCTTCACTGTATGTGTACGCATAATACAATAAAACGATACAACCCTGTCTGTTTGTTAAATGTCAGTTTTAATGATAAATAATGTTTCATATTTTAAAATGAAAACAAAAAGAAGCAGGTTTGTGTTTTAGCTATATTTCGTGTTGTTATAACTATATGATAAATCAATGTGCGTTGCCTGAACCACATTTGTGTGGCCATTTATATGTTTATGATAATAATTATGTTAATTTATAAAAGAAAAGAGGCACAGTGGTGTTGATGAAAAAAGGCAGAGTTGATAACCGGAGTAGCCGCGTGCTGAGTGACGCGATCAAGAACGCGCTGTTAGCAGCGTCCTCTCGTCCTCGGGAGTTTGTTCTCCTGAGTCGAACTTGGCAAGTCCGAACTACCAAGGACGCAAGTCCGAAGTTTGCGTACTTGGTATTGAGAAACGACCAATATTGACCCGCGTTCTGTTTTCTATCATGGGACCGCAGCAAACGAGCTGTAGCCTCGCCTGACAAGATTGAGTGAACAGGGTCCAGGGAGCAGTTTTTCCGTGAGCGGGAATTGAAAACCCGGAGTGGATCATAAGCGAAGTGATAACAGAATGCTTAGAGTGGAGAGAGGAACGTGCTTTTGCTCCACTCCAGGCTTTATCACATCCCCCCTCAGCAGGGTGAATACGCATCATCTTTCCTTAATTTAAGACCTATTCAAACTAAAATTAAGACATTTATCACACTGTTTGCGAAATGAAAGCCTATTTACGGCCTTAAAATTATGAAAAGTTAATTTAAGACATAAGGACAGACGGGAACCCTGCAATTGACGGATATCCGTCATAGACTCGCTGCAATTAACGGAAATCCGTCGTAGCGACGGAGAACTTTAATCCCTGACCGTATATCAAACGCGTCGAAAGCAGCGAAGAGTTGTAGTCCACAAAGTGCTCTCACACAAAGTCTAACCGTATGAAAATTCTACCCGCTAAATTGTAGCATTCTTTACACAAAAAATTATATAAAAAATTCACAGACAACATATGTTCACATTCATTGCAAAATTCAAACGGGATTAGAAAATAATTATTTTCTCTCAATCACTTGCATTGACGATTTTTCAACCTAGAGGTCCAGCGGGGTAAGCGGAAGGGGCGGGACTTACCAGCTCTATACAACTAAATTCAATGGAATGTATGTCACCCGGTGGCTATTTTTGGTACTACGCCAAAACAAAATCTCATGGGAACTTCAATTTTTGTGATATCAACTTCAAATTTGGAACACTACTTGGTTAGATGTATAGCTTTGATTTTATAGTAATTTTAGAGTAAAAAATATTTTGTAAAATATATATTTTTTATAAAATAAAATTATATAGTACAGTATATTTGATTTACTGTAAATTTAAACTTCCATACATTTTTTTTAAGTGTTTTCACTTCAGCAATAATCTGCTGAGTGTTTCCTTTAAAACAAGACCAAATTTAGGTCTATATTCCAAAGCATTCTTGAATTACAACCATTTAAGTTTGAATAGTGCATTTTAACCCCCATTCTCAAAAAGGGGGGTGACAGCGAAGGGGTTAAGTACAGTAACTATGTAAAAATACGTTGTTACTATCCACCACTGCTGGAATGTTTTGCATTTAGCACTAAAGATAAGAGGAAAATGTGCTTACCATTGGCACAGGGGTCACTGCTGCACCGGTCGATTTTCTTCTCACAGTTGGAGCCCATGTAACTGGCAAGACAGCGGCAGGAGTAGCCACCGGTCCCCTTTTCTGTACAGGTTCCTCCGTTGAAGCAGGGTCCATCTGCACAGGTCATAGCGCTGACCTCGCAGTTCTTCCCATAGAAGCCTTGAGGGCATGTGCAGGTGTAATCATTCACCAGGTCCTGAGAAGAAAAAGCAAAAGCCATTAACGTTCGAGTTCCACCAAAGACAAGGGGCAAAACTCAAGCGGATAGTGTCGTAACCGGCTGCTTACGTTGCAACTGCCTCCGTTCTTGCACGGATTGCTGTCGCACTCGTTGGTCTCGATCTCGCAGTTTTTGCCACTGAAGCCTGGCTTGCAGATGCAGGTGTAGCTGCCCTGGCCGGTGTTGGTACAGGTGGCATCGTTCATGCAGGGCTTGTGATTGGTGCAGAAGTTCAGATCCTCGTTGCAGAACAGGCCGCCCCAGCCTTCCTTGCAAGTGCACTGAAATGGCTGGTTGCAGGTGCCATGCAGGCACCCCGGGTATCGCTGGCACTGGTCGCAGAGGGGGCCGTCCCACCCAAGGCGGCACGTGCACTCACCCGGGGCCTCACAATAACCATGGTCCTCGCTACAGCCAGACGAGCAGATGGCTGTTTAAAAGGGAGAGGGAGAAAAAGGGGGACATTAGAATGACTGGCATCATAAAACAACCCCCCTTCTAGAGGCTCAGGCACATCAAGTATTTGTTAAGTACTAAACTAAGCAGCTGGGGGACACACAAAAGAAACACATGCCGCCTTTTTCACGGAAGGCAGAGCATATTAGGTTTCAACGCGTGTCCTTGTTAAATTATGCTCTCTGCTTCTATTGTTACAGTGAACAAAAGCTAACTTAGAAGTTTAATGTGGCCGTAAGAAACCGTTGAACTTGCCCGCGAGTTCTCTCTTCTTCTTTTTTTCATGATCTCTACGGTGCACGTATTAGGTAATGCACAACATTCGAAAAAACACTTACGTTCTGTTTTTGATTACACTTACGTTCTGCGCAATATTCGCCGTTCCATCCTGGCAGGCAAATTCTGTTTCCAGCGGCGTCACAGTTGAAGTGGCCGAACGCATCATTCCGTGGGCGGCAGAAATCCGAGCATTCCTCGCCGTGGTAGAACTCATCGCACACGACGCGATAAGAAAAGTCCAGTTGGCTTTGCTCTCCGAAATGCACGTCCGGGAACCAGTCCTCGCCGATAGCGAGTCGCCGTTTGGTGGCCAAACGGCTGATCATGTTGTTGATATTCTCTGAAATGCATGTAAGATAGGATATGTGTTAAATACACATGTAGGTATATAGAAATATAATTTTTAACCACGACTAAAAAAAACAACAACAAAAACAAACAGGTGAGGGCGCATACCTGTTGACTGGTCAGAGGACTCTGCGTTCCAGGCTTCGATTATCAGCGAGACAATCCCCTGTAATGACAGAAAACTCTGTTAAATATGTATTATATGCATAGCCTACATAAGAAGTGATAGTGAATCATATAAGGCTGATTTTGAGCTACTCACCGGCCACTTGAAATTAAAAGGCACGCGAATATGCGCACTGCTGGAGATGGAGTCCGCGCTGAATATGTCTGTCATTCCAGTGCCGTACGTGCACGGCGGCTCGGGTAGTATGATGTCTTGTGAATGCTTCAGGCAAACGCGGAAAAAGATCTGGCAGTCGCTGGGCCGTTTACACACACTGCTTGTACTTGTGAAAGAGCGCACTTTCAACTCAAACACACCGGATGATTCAGCCTATTAAAAAAAAAAAAAAAAAAACAGGACTAAGATTAGCACTGTGAAAACACTGGTCAAAAGAAGCGGCTTACATTCAAATACATGTGAAATACTCACCTGGTGCGCTGATATCAAAATTAAAAAACACGTTAATAAAACACAAGCCATTTTGGATCTTCTTGTCTGCTACTGAACGATAGCAGACTGCAAGAGTAGTCCGATATGAATGTTTGTAGTGGTATCCACGATTTAAGGCAAAAAAGTAGTTGAAAAAAATATCAAATGCAATAAGCTAAATTATATAACTATTTGAAAAATCTTAATGTCGTCTGTGTTGGAGCTTACAAAGCAAAGAGAAACAGATTTCTTGCTCCAGGAGACTTTGGACCCGTCAGTTACCTTTCGTGGAGTGTGGAGTGCGCGTGGGGTTTAAATAGCGAGCCAAGAGAAGGCGTGGCTTATGCAAGCAAAAACTCATAAAAAAGTGCTTTAAAATGTGCATGACGCTTTGCGTTCATTTCATGAATAGTAAAAGAGAAAGGGCCTATCACAGAACAACATAAACTGTAAACAGACGTTTGAAAAAGTAGGCTATTGCTGACAGCAAATTAAATATTAACTATTAACTAAATATTTACACTGCACATGTTTATAAATGATTTCAAACGCCAAATCACTGTTTTTTAAAATGCTCCACACTATGTTCCTTTAATTTAGGCTAGGCCTATAGGAATATCCTAAATTCTAAACCCCTTTTAAAAAATATTTTTATAAACAATTGTCTGGAGTGTTATTAAACCTGTGCCTTTTGCCATAGTTTTAAGGATGTGGGAAAAAAATCGAATTAATGGCTAATAATGTCTTTAACTATACGCACATTTTATTACTTTTCGATGCCGCGTGCCACGCAATTCTCCAAAAGTTTGTTTTCGTCTTAGAATTAATGTTCGTCACCGATCGCGGAAGGGGGTGGTTGGGGGTGATCTGCACATCCCATTTTATTCAGCCCTAAAATCTGTAATTGTTCTGACGCGTGTGAGTCGTTAAACCGGCAAGCGCTTTATTGTGCCCTGGAAAGATCCGGAGGGCTCTTTTGTTATCTTGCGGTTTGGATTGTAGGTCTTTGGTAAAGAGGGTGAAATGGTGGGGGGGTGCGCAGAGCATTTAAGATAGCAGATAATTGCTTTCTGTGCTGCAGTACGAGTGTGTGTACGTGTGCTGGGAGGGGGGCACTCGCTCACTACAGCTGTATGATAATCCTTGCACCTGCGCACTGTTTGCGCTTCGCTTTCTTCATTTATAAACACACACACACACACACGAAAATATTTAGGCTATATAGTATGCCGTATCGTCTTCTTTAGGCCTACTAGTGTATTTATTAAGTTTTTAAATAACCTAAACTGGCATCCATGAGATCAAAGTTTAGCTACTTGAATGTGCTACAATATGCATGCAACAGCAAGTTGCTGAAATGTTATCCCTGCGAGCAGAAACACAAAATTAAGAACTGCAGGTAAAAAATTCCATTTGCGAATTCATTAACTTCAGAGTATGAAAGGAAGGTTCTGTCGCTCATGTTAAGGGTAAACAGAGGAGACACGCGAACAATGCGCCGCGTTCCAAACTGTTGCTCGTGCTTTAGTGATTTTCTATTGTGATTCTAATGAGAGCAGCGCGTGCCTCCGCTGGCCCCATCTTTACCCCAGGCACGCTTTGCCTACTGGACGGCACCATGATTAGGGGGTTAAGAAGGACCTCTATTGTTAATTTATTGTCGGACAATTATTAAGACAGTCTGGTTTCTCGGCTTCTGATGAACACGAGGATGAATACGTAAACAATAGTTATTATCTGTGTAAACAAGAAAAGGAAATAAATAACTGGGATTGGAGAATATGGCTCTTGGTTGAATATAGCACACTTTATCCATACAGCGGTTGTGTGGTTTAATGCAATAGCCATATGTCATTAGACAATAATGTTAGGCTATACCAACCTATTCGAGCTATTAAAATTGAAAACCAAATTAAAATGGTAACATTTTAATGTTCTTCCGCCATAAATGTCAAGGCAATGTATATTTATTTTTAAATGTAATAAAACAACCATATGTATAGTCTAACAATCATTTTAGCATTTTAATATTTTTAGTTTATTTTTGGATATGGAGGTGTACATTTTAAGGTAAATATTCAAATTTGACAGGCCTATGTCTTTTACAAAGTATTTTTAAAGTAACTTAAAAAGTTACTTTAAGTTATTCGAGCTTAAGTAACTTAAAAAGTTACTTTAGGCTCATAATAAAATAAGAAAACTTAACTTAATTTTTTTTGACCTGGCCGCTGGCCCCGTTCTGAGTTAGCCTACGTGCGCGTGCCCCAAGCTCGTATTGATGCGCGCTGGGGTACATGTTCAGCAAAATAGGTGTCGTGTGCCCATTATGTTCATTCGACAAAGAGAGTGATGAGGGGAAAGCGGGGAAAAGTCATAAAATCAATAGCCATCTGGCTCAATCGAAGACGCGCATGCTGCATCTCTGATGTTTCCTGATATAGCCATAGGTGAACGATGGATCAAACTTACACCAACCCCCTTTCCCCCGGGTACATTAATAAGTGTAATAAAGTTACCACTATAATGGTTTCATCGCCCGCTTTTGTGACTTACAAAATGCGCTAGATGTTTTGCTTTGCGCGCCCGTTTAACACTTTCCCATCCACGTGTCTAACATCCAAACGGTGCGAGAGTCGTCGCGTTTGCTGGGATAAAGCGTGTCTATGGGTGCTAGTGAATTCTGGCGGGAGGGGAAGGATTGGCACATAGGGGTGAAATGACACATGGCGACAGTTATGGTAAGGTGTTAGCCAGTGGCAGAAGGCGCGTCCATAAATGTGAATTGGTGCCCCTCTTCCAAGGTGTGAAGTGCGACACGCGGTGCCCAACGCAGACCGGTTCCCAGGCTCCCTGCACGTGCATGATGCTCGGAGGTGTCATTTTATTCGCATGTCATATGTTCACACCTTTGGGAAAAGTCTGTTCTGCAACTGGCGACTTCATTTCATTGGTCAGAGAACAGTTGTGCCACATTTGTACAACATTTCCGAAAACCGAGTTCGGAACACGTTCCATTAAAAAAGGCTTGAACTGAGCGATTTGTATGACTTTCGGTTCATATAGGCCTATACTGTACAGACGAATCTATTTACTTATTATGAACTCAAATTCGCGAACGAATAACTCTTGTCAGCTGATTATTTTTAGTCAATCAAAAATTCTGTGCGATTTCCGAACTAATATTGCTATTATTAGTCGGTTCTTTTAAGTGAGTCGATCAGCGTGAACTGTAGTTCGAATCCCAGAAGAATAGCTTTTATGAGTCGTTTCTTTTAAACGAATGACTCCCAAGAGCCGGTTCAATTAAAATGAATCAAAAACACTCGGAGCGGTTACTGAATTTAATTATCTTACTAAAGTTAATTCTTTCGTCATGTTCGACTCTAAATTATGAATTTAAAGCTCGTCAGACTTTTCAGTTACGTACTATTACAAGGTGTATTTAAAGATTGTTTGTTCACCTTTCTGTTTGTATAGGCCTAAATACAAAATAATTAAATGTCCCCTCATTTTTGTTTTACTCACTAGTTTACTCTGCAGAGGCCAGACAGAAGTTTCGTGCAATTCAGTGGTTACCATAAAGGCATAATTGGCACGTGTGCGTCTGTCAAACGTAAAGGTGTGACATTGACAAAAGTTTAACACCTCGCATTCTGTCTCTCAATTAACTCAAATTGTGTGCGTCGTGAAGCGTGCTGCTGGAGCATCGGTCGGTCAGAGAGGTTGTCCACATTATGCGGGTGACTGGGTGTTATTTTAAGTGCACTAAGATCGAGTTAGAGTGTTGAAGTTAATGGTAGAAGAAACTGATTTAATACTGGATTCTAATTCACACAAGAAAAAGACAAAACGACTTTTGTTTACATACAGTATTAATTTGTAATATGTGCAACAAATTCATTAGTTACATTCAACCATCTAATTCTTTTAAGTCTGATTATATTTTTAAGGCAATTTGAAATATCACAATATTTTTGTATCAAAGACTTTTGCACAGAACAGTATTTGAAAATGGCGAGAAAATTCTAAATTAATTTTCACCTCAACATTTTTTCCTGAAATAAATACTGCAGCCACTCAATAAAATCAACAATTCACATTCATTTCTCTGCAAATGTGTTTACAAAAATAACGGGCCTAAAAGAGTGCACTTTTAATAAATAAAAAAAAGAAAGGCAATAATAATAAATAAAACCATAAAATGCAGTGTTAATAAAAAAAATGAAAGGCAATAATAATATATAAAACCATAAAAAGCAGTGTTAAAAAGGCAGTGTTTATTTTTGTTTACATTACATTATTTGTTTACTTCAGGACCACATTTAACTACCTGCCATAAATATATATAACAAATTATGATATAAACTACAGTACAAGTTTGTCATTTAAAGCAACACTTTTAAAGGTGATGAAAGCAGATTTGCTCTGGATCAGACCTTTCAGCATTGAAAATAAAATACCATGACATCACACACATTAAGTTATGGTTTGTTTATTAGAGATATTCTGGGTGTTTCACAACATAAGCAATACAAAGCACATCCTTAGACATGATGGGGCATTTCTGAAATAGCACCAGATTGAGCTGGCTTTATTTGAGAGGTTCTCCTCAACACACTGCAACAGAATCACCATGACAAAGACAGTCTTGCTGGCAGCATGAACACAAATCCAAGGTTTTGCTTCATGTGCCGTGTGATGATCAGAACTTATGGGAGTCTAATATCAGGCTATTGCCTACAGCATCAGTTATGGGTTTGAAATGGGGCCTACATGATGGAAACGAGATCAGTTCTTCAGTTCATGTGGTGCTATGCAGTTCTTTGCTCTTGCAGAGATAAGGGAGCCATAGAAGTGGACAAGAACAAGTCCAACAACCCTGAAACAATTTCTAATGAGTGAGATCATAAATGAGGGCACCATATCTGTGTCTGCTGTCCAGGAAGTGCTATCTTCCACAGGAATGAAACGTCTTTTGGAGTCGCTCGCTCCTATCCCAACCCCTGTAACAAGGTAGCATCCCTCCAGTGTAGCCGATTGGATGTTCTTTCCACACATGCCCTTCTGCTCCCATTATCCCCTCCCGCCCACATACACCGTCCACCTGTTTGCCTATGACCTTCATCTCAATGGCTGGTCACAGTCGAGGTGGGACCGTTTAAGGTGGGTGTGAGCAGGACGTGTCCTCACTGCTGCTTCCGAGACCAGAAACGACCTGCGATGGAACCTAATGAAATCCCCTGTTTCTTCTGTTGCGCAAGCTCCGAAAGTCTCTGTTCTTCTTCCTGTATGTGCAAAAATATTCATGCAATATTAGCAAACACCACTAAATATGACATCTGACAGGGAAAAAGAAAACGTGATAAGTACCTGTGCAAGCTGTGCTTGCCTTCTTTTGAAAGCTTCAATGGGGTCTTCCTCATGGGCGTAGTTCTCTAATACTGAACGCACATCATCCACTCCGCTGATGGCAATAGCTACACATCATATACAAGGTCAATTGAGTTGTTCAAATGAACAATACAATACAATCTGACAACATCTATTTGCCCCACACATGCATACTCACTTTTAAGGAAGGCAGCCAAGTCATAGAGCGTGCGATCCTCTGAGTTGCCGTCCCACTTGCACAGCGCCAAACCGTTGAAAGGCTGTAGACCAAAGGCCTCTCGCTTACAGTCCACCACAATGACTTTGGAGGTATCTCTGTTCAAACAAGACACGTCCTGCAAGACAAACAGAGTCATTAGTGAATATCATTTTTTAAATAATCGTTCAGACTTTAATTTCTTTGAAAGTCTTTGGGATGTGCTGGAGTACACCTTACAGAGTGCTTGACTCTCGCATTGTCAATACAAGATCTTGACCAAAAACTGATGCACTTCTTGATGGAAATAACATTTCCATCAAGAGGTGAATTTAAAGTCTGGACTCAGAGGTGCCAATTCATGTGTGAAAATGATTCTTCATGCTCCCTCCCAACCATTCTTTCACTATTTGAGCCTGATGAATCTTGACATTGTCATCCTGGAATAGGGCCATGATGTGTCTTCCTACGTAGTTGTTTAAGAAATAAAAAACTACACACTCCATCAATCAAGGCCCTTTCACACTGAGCGTGACTCGATAAAGCTAAGCGAATCGCCAACGAACGGAGCTTTCACACTGAACGCGATGAATGACACTGACCGAGAATACATTTTTCCCCATGCATGCATCTCGTAGGTTTCCCATTTGGCTTTAACCTCATCCTCTGCACAACATACAACAGTAAATTAAGATAAATAAAGTTTGGTACTACAGCAGCAGCAGCTTGGGTAAGCTCAAATCTAATTGGACGGCTCGTTTCATTGCGGGGGCGACAAAAAAAAAAAAAAAAAAAAAAAAAAAAAAAAATCGCTTTGTCGCGCTGCGATTGATCGCGCCCAATGTGAACAGCTCCATAGGGATCTATTGTTTGCGCCGTTTAATCGCTCTCAGTGTGAAAAGGTGCTTTAAGGTTAGAAGAACTGTTGCCAAACATATAACATGCTAGAAACATGATAATCACTGCAATAATGCCCCAATCATAGACTTTTAAGCATTTGCCAATTTAAATCCAAACAGCGACTTTTTTTTTGGCCGGGTATTCACACATTCATATATATAAATTTGTAAAATTTTATATTCTTTATATTTTATTTTATATTTTGTATCTATCAGTATATATGTTGATTGCATTCTTTAATCATATTGCAGTTGTTAGCGTAAAAAACAAACAAAAAAACACGACGCTGTGTGGTACTGTAACTTAAATTCCAAAAACACCCCTTACCAATGGTAAAATCACTAACTCTTGACCTCTTGCTGCTTATTGCTTCAAGAGGCCTGACATCTAGCAAAATAGGTCCAGTCTGAGTCTACTTATCACAGCTATACATACAAATTGAGGTTAAATGTGACCTCTCACACCCCCGAACGTTTGTGTGACACTGATGTGAACCATATTTACACCTATGCATTTGTGGAGGGGTGCAAAGACTTAACACCAGCCCATTGCCCCCAGTGCTCGCTCTCTCGCTCACACACGCACACACACACACACACTCTATCCGGGCCAGCTGTCTCAGTGGTGGTCCTACAGAGCAGATGGACAGGGACGCTGCACTCTCTCTATCACTGAGGTCATCAGCATCCCCCAGAGAGACTGAAAAAGTTGCGTGTGCGAGAGAGATGGAGGGGCCCCGAAAGGAAAGCCCTCTCGACGGCGGCACAGTCTGTAGCATTTACAATAAATTACCCGCATCTGCTTTCCCTATGAGACGCGCCCAAACCCCACCGGGAAAGCGAGTGTGTGTTTCAGTGTATTTGTTATTGAGTGTGTGAGCGTGCATGTATAATTAATGAGATTTTTATGGATTATAGCAACAGGCGAGCTTATCGGTGCCCAAATCGCATTCAAAATGTGAAACTGAACGATAATTAGTACGTTTTATGTGGCTAGTGTGTATTTGATCTTCAGTGTGGGTGTGTGAGCAGAGCTGTGTAACGCAGCTGGGCATAAGAGTGTCATGTTGCCGAGTCAAACAGCCTCTTCAATTCCCCAGGTAAAACATTGGAGCACGAGCCGGAGGAAGCGTGCCGCTGACAATACGCACGTGCCACGCTATGCACCTGCCAATCAAAGCCCAGCTCACCCCCCCCCCCCATCTGTGCTGAAGACCTCGGCTGGGGGAGGGGGGCAGCATCTACTGGTGTCATATCTGTATTAAGTCAATACATCATCAATCCTTCCAAAATGTGTTTTTGACTGACCCTGATTCTGTAAGTCTATTAACTTTATATTTTTGACGTGTGTATGGTCGGTGTAAGAGTGGCATAGGTTAGTTGTTACAACGAGCGAGAAAGGTTGACATGGAGAATGCTAAATCTCGAACCTCCGGGAAATCACCCGTTTTAAGAAAAAAAAAGCAGAATAGAGTTTTCTGGTAAATGAGAAAGCAAGTCAAAGAGCTTGTAATAAATCGAGAATCAACACGGGCTTTTCAGAGGTAGTGAGAACTGAGGGTATTGCAACAGTAACGTCTTCAGCTAGTCAGCTTGAGATCCTTTCCATCTAAACTGGTTATATCTTTTAAGTCTAGTAGTGCATGTTTTATGAGCTGTAGGATAACCATATTAATCCGCACAGTCAAAGAGCTGAAGCACAACCAAAACAATGTTCTTCCACAAAATGCATGCAGTTTTTTTTAACACTAGAGGGCCAAAAGTTACATAGTTTACCTTTAAATTGTATTAATCAAAAAGTTAATTTAAAAAAGTTAAAGTTAAATTAACTAAATTCATAAAACACAAAATTGCGTTGTAAAAAAACCCCCAGATAAGTCGCATTTTATTACATTCAGAAATAATGTAAAATAGTAGTGCATAACCTAACTTAGTGGTGTTTATATAAACAATTTTTATTATAAATGCCAAGCCTAAGCGAATTTACGAAACATAACTGTACAGTAACACACTCTACCACAGGACAAAGCTGTTCTGCAAGCTTTCTCCTCCAGCTCAGGGCAACGAGTTTGTTTAGTCTTCATTTCATTAAAGGTGAAGTATGTAGTTTGTAGGAATTGATTTTCACGTGTATTTGTGTGCATGTATGCATAGCCTACTCTATAGTCCGGAAAATACGGTACATGTTGTTGATGAAACTGCGCCACTCATTCACACAGCATGCAGATTTCATAATTAAATGGCAGTCTTAATGACACACACTAGTCCATAGTCGCAATTTGTTTACAGCCCTACTTTTGATTTATTCATCCATAATTTGCCAAATTCCATGATATTGCGCAATTCAATCTGCATTGCAGAAATCATAGGGCCCTACAGAAAGGCCATCCTGGGAAACTGAACGCATTTGTGAGTTTCATCTAAATACCAGGGAACTCTTCCTTCATGCATCACTCAAAGCGATCAAGTTCATGCTGGCCCAAAATGCATCATGGCGCTGTAGAATTTGCTTTCAATGTCATTATTGTTATGTCACCAGTTTTATTCTTATTTCACGTTTTTGTAACTAACTGTTTTAGTCATTCATCCTTGTTCATCTGCAGCTTTTAAAAGTTAATTCTTCAGAAGGAAACTCATTCGACTGCATTTGTTTTCTCCTTCCCCCTCCCGCTTCTGAGGGCCAGATGGGAGGTGAGGGAGGGGAGAGAGAGGAGAGGAGGGTGAAGCAGAGTGAAATAAACGTGTGTTGGCAGAAGGTGGATGGAGAGAGAGAGTGCTGATGGGGGTCTGGTGGACAAGGCCAGACAGGCAGTGGTGAAATGTGACCGGAGTGATACAAATACGCATGCATACACTCATGTCTACTTCTGTACGAGCACTAAGCAGCTACCAAGTAGCGTGACTGTAAGAATAGAAAATTGTTTCAATTCTGCACATTAACAATTAAGGCTGGTTCCCAATGCTGTAATGTAATGTTCACTTTAAAAAAATAATCTTTAAAAACGCTGTTAAATGCAATGTTTAGCAAATCTCAAAATGATCATCTATTTTTCATGACTGCACATTATTATATTGAGATGCTTAAATGCACTTTGGTGAATGATCTATTTATTAAGATTTCCATTACACGAGAGTAGATGTTAAAACTTCATGCTGATTTGTACTCTGCTTTCGCCAAGATAAGCAAAACTAAGACGTAGCTTTACAGTAAACTATGCTTCTCCATCCATTTACGCTTCTTTCCATAAGGTAGTGTGACTCCCCTTCTGTCCGGCGTTAACGGCAGCAGTGTACTTGGCGCGTTGGCGCACGCGACGGCTGCAACTACAGGACCAGCATGACAACCGTCTGGATTGAACCGAGTAGGGGACATCTCTAGGGTCTTCAAGTGGGCACCTTCCGTCCTCAGTGTTTCGTCGACTAGCCCACGACACCTCAAGAGGGCTCGACAGTGACTCTGGCGTCCCAGAGTCACCCCCCTCCGTCCCCCACTCAACTCAGCCCAGCTTACTGACCTCTACATCCCTCCTGCTGCTGAGACCTAACCACAATATCACAATCTCTCCGCGACCCAACCATACGCGCCAACCCGTTGACTAAGGCTGTCGAGCCCCACTGGTGCGTTAATATGCAGTTTCAGTGGACAACGGTTCCGTATGGCATACCACCTACCGCAAAACACAATATCTACCCAACCACCCGTCATTCACGCAATATCCACAGGAACGTATACAAACAAACCAACAGACTCTTCAAGTTTTCAAGAACTCTACGAAACCGTAGCGTGGCGGCCTGTACATAGCTAGCTAGAATCTTTCCGTCTCAACCACAGCCAGTTGCTGCTCCTTTCTGCTGCTTCAGATAAGTTCTTTACTGTGCGACGCAACTCTTGGCCACTGAATCCGACGTCTCTGAGGAACCGGGTTGTAGAGTGTGCCACAAAACCTCGACAACCCACTTCCACTGGATAAACCTGGACTCTCCATCCTCGCTGTTCTGCTTCAGTGGCCAGATGAGCATACCGCAGTTTCTTCCTCTCATATGCCTCATCTACCGCATCCTCCCATGGCACTGTTAACTCTATCAGTTGAACAATGCGTGCTGATCCAGACCACAAAACAATATCTGGTCGTAGGTTAGTGGTGGCAATCTCAGGTGGAAAAATAAGCCGTTGGTCAAGATCAGCCAGCATCTTCCAGTCCCTAGCAGCTTCCAGTTGTCCTGGGCGAGAATTGGTGTTAACACCTTTTCTTGGTGGTTGCTCGCCTGGGCGGAGGAATATTGTCTTCTGCGTGTAATGTTTTGCTAGAACAGGTGGCAACTTATTGGTCATGTTACGCTTGCCTTCTAATGCTAAAGCCAAACATCGCAGTACTTGGTCATGGCGCCAAGTAAACCGACCTTGGCTAAGAGCCACCTTACATCCTGTCAAAATGTGCCTTAATGTGGCAGGTGATGAACACAAAGGACAAGAGGGATCCTCTCCTACCCAGAGGTTTAGGTTCTGCGGTGAAGGCAGAACATCATATGTTGACCTAATAAGGAAACCGATCCTACTCTCTTCCATTGACCAAAGGTCTTGCCAGCCCATCTTACGTTGTTCCACACTCTCCCATCTCATCCACTCTCCCTGCTTGGCCTGTGAAATGGCCTTTATACACCTCATCCTCTCCTCCTGCTGTCGCACCTCGTTGACTACCAGCTTCCTCCTTTGAGCTGGGCCTGCCTTGTGCCATTTAGGAGGAGCTAAACTGAGCCCAAAACCCCCTCTTCCATGCTGTACCTGTCCCACGATATCCCTAATTTGAAGGGCAGCCTTTGCCTCTACTACAGATTTCTTTGCTGACCACTTTCTACCAGTTTTTAACACAGGGGCTGCCTCCCTTACACATTTGTCGCGTGACTCTACTAAGGTCATTTCCAGTCTGACCTTGGCACACTTGAACTCCTCGGTTAAAGCAGAGACTGGCAGCTGCAATATTCCTTTACTATAAAGTCCTACTCTGCTGAGGCAGCGTGGAACTCCCAACCATTTCCTGATGTATGAACTTACCAACGCTTCCAGCTTATCCACTGTTGTCAAAGAAACCTCGTACACGGTCAGTGGCCACAGCAACCTCGGCAGTAGACCAAACTGAAAGCACCAGAGTTTTAGTTTACCAGGTAGAGCACAGCTGTTTATGCTCTTCAACCCTTCCACTGCTTGTCGTCTAACTTCTCCCACCCGAACTGTGTCCTTTAGATCCCCATCGTACCATCTCCCAAGACTCTTCACTGGCTTCTCAGAAACTGTTGGTATTGCCTCACCATTAATGAAGAATGTTTTATCTACTACCTTTCCTTTAACTATCGAGATGCTCCTTGATTTAGAGGGCTTAAATTTCATTCGTGCCCATTCAATATTATCTGTTAACTTCCCCAATAACCGATTAGTGCAGGCTACTGTTGTAGTCATGGTTGTCATGTCATCCATGTATGCTCTGATTGGTGGTAGTCGCATCCCAGAAGCCAAGCGCTCTCCTCCTACTACCCATCTTGATGCCCTCATGATTACTTCCATCGCCATGGTAAAAGCCAGTGGAGAAATGGTGCATCCTGCCATTATTCCAACCTCTAGGCATTGCCATGCAGTGCTGAATTTTGGAGTTGAGAAACTGAATTGCAAATCTCCAAAATAGGCTTTCAGTAAATTTGTTATTGACATTGGTACTCTGAAAAAATCAAATGCTGCCCAAAGAAGCTCATGTGGCACTGAACCATATGCATTAGCCAAATCCAGGAATGTCACATGGAGCTCCTTCCTCTCCTTTTTAGCTGACTGAATTCGTTGCCAGATAACATTGATGTGTTCTAAGCATCCTGAGAACCCTGGAATACCCGCTTTTTGAACTGAGGTGTCAATGAAGCCATTCTTTAACAGGTAGGTGGACAATCTCTGGGCAATAATGCTGAAGAAAATCTTACCCTCAACGTTTAATAGTGAAATAGGACGAAACTGACTGGTGCTTGTAGCATCTTTTTCTGTAGGTATAAAGACTCCACCTGCTCTGCGCCATGCTCTAGGTACAACCTGTTTTTCCCATGCCACTTTTATCAATTTCCACAGAATTCGCAGAACTCTTTGTATAGTATTCGCAGAATACTATGTAGTCAAAGTATGGGCAGGCCATAGTCAATGTAAAGCATATTACTGACGTAGTGAATGTGCCATATAACTTTTTATCCGCTGTTATCGGTGGCCCTGTTTACTAGCCTGCGCGTTCACGACAGGCTCCGCTGTGGAGGACGAGCTGTGGAGGGAGGGCTGTAGCGCAGCAGAGAGCAAGGGGGTGGGACCTGTAAGTTGTGCTTGTTCAAATTTTCAGGCTAAGTCAACGTTTTCTCAAAACTCCCTACTGCAGCTTTAAAAGTTTGAGGTTGGTAAGATTTAAAAGAAGTCTTTTATGCCCACCAAGGCTGCATTCATTTGATCAAAATACAGTAAAAACAGTAATATTGTGAAATATTACAATTTAAAATATGTTTTCTATTTAACTTATATATATATATATATTTTTTTTAAAAATGTTATATATGTATTTTCAGCATCATTACTCCAGTCTCCAGTGTCACATGATCCTTCAGAAATGAATCGAATATGCTGATTTGCTGCTCAAGAAACATTTATTATTATCAATGCTGTAAACAGTTGTGCTGCTTATTTATTTTTAATTCTTTGATAAATAGAAAGTTCGAAAGAACAGCATTTATTTTGTCACATTATAAATGTCTTTACTATAACTTTTGAACAATTTAAGGCATCCCCGCTAAATAAAAATATTATTCGCTGTAAAATGAAAACATTTTATAAAATGAAAATTAGAGAAGACGTTTGCTCTAATTTGTTTCAATCCAAACATGTTCTACGAGTTTAAATGTAAAATCTTGAGATAAATAATAGTATTTTAACAATATGCAATTAAGGACACAGAGTTAAATGAATACATTTAGAATGTTTTATACACTACCGTTTAAAAGTTCGTTTTAAAAGTAAAATAAAACGTTCGAAAGAACAGCATTTATTTTGTTACATTATAAATGTCTTTACTGTAACTTTCGAACAATTTAATGCATCATCGCTGAATAAAAGAATTTAATATATTTTTTTAAAAAGACCAGAAACATGTGTGTATAAAGAATAAAATAATTCTATAATACCCTCCAGCAACATGTGACACTGTAATATAACCATGGATGCTAAAAACTGATTTAATTTGTACACTAATGCAATTGTAAATTTGATCTTAAGCGTTAGACGTGCACCATTCATAAGCCTAATGAGGAGAGAGTTTAGGTAACGGCGGACGGCCTAACGAAGGAAAAAGGAGGGGGCAGAAGGTTAATGAGGCCTGAGAAGAGAGAAGGGAGGAGGAGGAGAGAAGGAGGGGAAGAGACTGCTATTGTCTTGGGCTGTTGAGAAAAGAAAAAAGAATAAGGACATAGCAGTGGGGAAATCAATGGGCGAACAGAAGGACGGCATGCAGCAGAGACACGGGGGGCATCGCGCCATAATGTTGCCCGGGTCACTCAGGAGAGGGGGCCCATGGGGCGGGGATCTTGAGCAATAAGACCAGACCATACTGTATTACATTCACATGGAGGAGCTTTACTCAGAGCAATTTGTAATAAATGAGGAAATTAGCAAATGTATGTCACTAAATCTGTATTGCAGCATGATGAAAGCAAACGTATTTTGAAACTATGAATGGATTTCCCCAAGACGTGTTCTCTTTGTTGAGATCAAACCATTAACATCTGTAAGAAAACACAACATCTGGTCAAAAAAGCAGCTTCTTTTGAAAGGCAATAAGAATGTGTAATTGTTTTGCAACATATGGCTTATCTCTGATGATTTTCATGTGACTCAAACAACTTGTAGGGGTGAAATACCAGACAGCTGGATTTTACGGTAAGTGGCAGACACTGTTTACAAGAACAGAGAAGTGTCCTAAATACTGAGAGTGAGTTTGCGACCGTCACCAACAAAGCATGATACTGAGAAGCAGACCTATAGGCAAGTAGACTGAAGTTTACCTTAACATGGTGGCCCTCCATGTAGCGTGTGGCATCCCGAAAGAGCCGGTACATCACGAATCCTTGAGGATCTATACTGTCAATCAAGGGGTACGCCGTCTGCCCACACACAAACATACATTGTTGCATTCAGCAATCATTTTTAGGTTTTACAATGAGAGATTGTCTTTAAGTGAAGTTAAATATCATGCAGGGGAAATCTAAACATCATATTTACCCATAAAAAGCACACATTACAAATGCTAGTTATTCTAAAATTTGTGAAGCATCAAGACAGTGGATGGGCTGGTTTTTGTGTGTGTTTTTTTACACCGGCTGAAAAGCTGAATTGACTTATGCATGCATTTGAATAAAACAAAACACCAGCAGCAAAAGGCTGTTCAATCAAAACAAGGCTAATTTGCATGACTTTACGAGTGTGCCACACCAACAAAACAACAGACACACACAAACACTTGCAGACTGAAGCTTAGCATAAAGGTCACAGACTAATGGCACCATTTAGGAAACGTTATATTTGAGCACAAGATGACGTGTTTGTAGAATCAACAAAAGCGTAGGTGTGCCACTGTATCCAAAATAGCATCTATTGTAAGTGGGTTCAATGCCAAGTATGGTTCAAGAAACTTTTCCTTTCAACTGCAATTGAAACGGTGTATGTAAAAACAAATAACAAGCCAATCGCACTGGCATTATTGTGGTAAATAGTCCTCACCACCCCTGAGACTCACCATGCCCGTCTCTGATGTGAAGATGACTATCTCGTAGAGCGGGGCCAGTTGCTGGAACAGATAGTCTATGCCAGGCCTCTTCTTAAAACGCCAGCCTGTGGCCAACTAGAGGCGGCAGAGGAGATCCATAAAACATTAAAACTCAAAAAAAGAGGTCCAATGTTTTTACATATTTATTAGGCCTAACAATAGAGTTTAGAATAATTTAACATAACAGAATGACATTTTTTAATAGTTAATTGCAATTATTTTTAACTAGACCATTTGCATTCAAATATGCACAATCATTCAAAAGTTTGGGGTCAGTAAAACATTTTCTTTGAAACAAAAGAATACTTTTATCCAGCAAGGTTGCATTATATATTGACCAAAAGTGATAATGTTACAAAAATACTTCCGTTTCAAATAAATAGTTTCATCAAAGAATCCTGAAAACAAAAATGTATCACAGTTTCCAAAAAAATATTAAGCAGCACAACTGTTCAGCATTGATAATAAGCAAATCAGAATGATTTCTGAAGGATCATGTGACACTGAAGACTGAAGTAACGATGCTGAACATTCAAATTTACCTCACAGGAATAAATTACATTTTATAGAAAATTAAAATAGAAAACACTCATTTTAATTTGTAATATTTTACAATATTACGGTTTTATTGTATTTTTGATCAAATAAATGCAGCCTTGAATAGCTTCTTTAAAAAAAAAAAATCTTTTTAAATGACCCCCAACCTTTTGGAAGATAGTGAATTTATTTTCCTTTCAAAATACAGTGCATTTATTTTAATGCAGTCAGTAACTTGCTAAAGCGAGTAAAAAATAAAAAAGGAAATATGAAACAGATTTTTGCCTCTAGTGTGCTAAAGCAGCCAACTGTTGGCCTTCTTATGCCATTTACGACATGTTTTGCCTATAAGCGAGTATTGCTATTTGAACTCAAACATCTTTAGACGGCCCATCTGGAATACATTTATAAATGAACATGCAGTTAGAAACTTTCTCAATAATTTACTGGAAGCCTGACTATTCCGATCATTAGTCAGTAGAAAGAAGGCATAGCAGAAAGCAGCATTTTACGTCTATTGACTGCGTTAAATATATGCCTTTAGTCACTGAAGTTGCATTTTACCATCAAACTCAACTAATTCTTCTTTACTTAGATAGGATTCTTACTTTTGTATCATTTAGAGTAACAGATACTTTAATTGTGCTTTTATCTGGCACCTATATCAGAGTATACATGTCAAACAAAGCCAAAAAGAAGAGTACAGTCACAGACAAAGCTTCACTTGAGGTTCAACAAAAATCACTGTGCCGTGCGCCACGGTAACAGTCTGCTGAGGTGTGTCAGATTACAGGTAGGCTATGCTCCACCTGTCACCTGTGTGTGGCCCTTCCCTCACAGCTGGCCAGGTAGAGAGAACAGAGGGAAGGAGGGAGCAGGTAAGGGAGGCGACAGGTGGTTCGCCAAAAACAGCATTCCAGATGGCCTCATGTGACTAACAGGAATTGATAAGGAAAGTTTGTAATAAACTGATAAGTGACAAAGGGTCGTTTAATAGTAAATCAAATAGAGACTTTATTGCAGATGGGAACTGAGTGCACAAATATACACACTATACAGCACAGCACATAGAGAGAGTATGTACAAAATATACTAGAGTGGTTGCAGCTGTGTTTAGATTGGAACAGCAATAGGCCTGCGATTAGGAGCAAAACATTTTTTTGGGGGGGGGGGGATTTTACCAGAGATTTAGAGTCTAATGATATGAACTGGCATCAAGCAGACTGAAACAATCTAGATTTAAGAATCATTTCATGTTAAATTGAGATCTGAGAATGCAAAGTCTATGTCCAACAGCTCAAAGTGGCTCATTTAGATGGGCAGTAGACATTCTAAACACAACCTAAAACTATTTTAAGCAGCATTTCGATTATTTTATAATTATTATACATGCAGTATGGAAGCCCATTTCTAAAACAGAGAACAAAATAAAGGTATGTATGTGAAAGTGTGAAAACAGTTTGATTTTTCAAATTAATCGAAAAATACTTGGAAAACAAATAGTTAGTTCAAGGAATATTTTCTATTTTAATATATTCTGAAGTGTAATTTATTCCTGTGATGGTAAAGCTTTTTCAGCATCATTACTCCAGCCTTCGGTGTCACATGATCCGATTCCATTCAGAAATCATTCTAATATTCAGATTTTCTGCTTAAGAAAACTTTTTTTTAAATAAATGTTGAAAACAGTTGTGCCGCTTAATATTTTTGTGGAAACCATGATATATTTTATTTCATTCTTTGATAAGTAGAAAGTTTGGAGCTCAGGATCAAAGGTGACAGTAGTGTACATTGGTCCTTACTTGATCCTCAAATGCAGATGTTCTCTTGGTTACATTAATTGAGCTGTGACACCTACCGACCACTCTGGATGGAGGAGGACATCGGTGAGCTCCAGCACTAGAGTGTATGGAGGCTGGTAATAGGGTTCTCGCAGTGGGTCTGGAAGAAGCTTTGGGCTTGTGGGCTCGATGATCATCTACAGAGAAGCAGAAAGAGAACATTTGGTACCTCATATTCTTTCTTATGAGGATATAAATGGGGATTATTTTCTGTATCCTCTAACCTGTCGGTAATCTTTGAAATATTTGAAGGTTCTTCTGAGCTGCTGGATGACGGTAACATCTAGAGGAAAAAAATAAATAATTATAAACTGGTGTAGCCAGATCGATAAAATATTATTCATGATTAATAGTAAAAATAGTTTCTTTAAGCTCTTTTATACAGTTCACCTTACTGTATAAAATGCTAATATTAAATGTCAAGTCATTTTAAATGGTTTAGGACTTGCTGATAACAACTACGTCAGCACATCAAATACTAATGGTCACTTCAAGACACTATATAACATCCCCACATCATTTAAACTAAAGTGATTAGCCCCATTTTCATGGCTTTAGCTCCCTCCAATCGCCACATGCCATATGCCACCTCAAGCGGCAAAATGGACAGATAAAGTGGCGGCACACAGGTTCCATGCGCCTCCTGCCTGGCTCGCTGTGCGTCTGTTAAGGCAGCCAGCCCGCCAAGGGGCCCATCAACAACATCAGGGCATGAGGAAGGAGGTTGATTGGGGGAGGGACGATACAAACTGCTTAAACACCCTCTCCTCCAGCCCTATCCCTCCTTTTCTCCTGTTGGATTAGTTCGGAGGGGGAGTGTTCGCGCTCTTTGAGGGAGCATGTGCCTGTTTGCAGCCTCCAATGGAATAAGCTTTCCCTTGAGGCTAATGAGCGAGACGCCTCCTTATCATACTTATGTTGAAGAGAGACAGTGGTGGTGTTAGTAGGTTCCATTTACATGATATCAGCATCACAGCTTTGTTTCTGAAAAGTAATGGATCAATGAAGAAACGTAGCTGTGTTAGACAAAACACCAGTTGAACAAGGAATAGTAGCTCCGTAAAAGTGGTCCATGCACTATACCTCAAGTCTTCTGAAGACATACGATAGATTTGTTTAATGAAAACGCCACAAGCACGTCATTATGCAGATCTTAAATCAAATATGGCACCTAAGTTGTATGGATCACTTTATTTAAAAGTGAATAATGACTTAAATTGTGTTGCGCTTATAACAATCAACCGTATATCTTTCGGATACTTTAAATATGAATATATTATTTATGTGGCTGTTTTTATGGTGCTTTTCTGACTTTGTGGCACATTGTACACCAAGTAAAACCAAAATTGGGAGATAGAAATTATTTTTTGTCTCTTTTGCCACAGAAAACTAGAATAAGATGAAGGCCAGTTAACAATGACAGAAGGTGCTGAATTAAAATAGACGTTTCTTTCCCTCTCCCAAAAAAACTAAAATTCTGACCCCAAAACTTTCAATGGGGTTGTCAGTATTCCTTGTAGCGTTTTCTAAAGGAGTGTTTAGAGAAAGTTTATCCTCTTCGCATCGACCTCAGTCGTCTGTTTAACTCCATTCAAACTGGCACACATCTGTCCCGGCATAAGTCCTTACTTCTCCACAAGTCCAAGATCAATACAAAGGGTGAACAGTTGCAAGAACCGTTACCAAGACTGATCCAAGACGACACCGGAGAAGCGGGGAACAACTGGGTGCGCTTTGAAGAGTCTCTTGTGCTAACCTTGTTTGTCAGTGTAAATGGCGAGGAGTCCCATTGTTGCTTCACAGAGGGCCTGTGTCTCTCTGGAGGGATGTCCACTGAATCTCAGGCGAGGAGGGAGGGAGAGGAAGATCGATGGCTAGGCCTCTGGACACAACAAAGGCCTCCTTTAATCCTGCACTGGGTTAGCATATGCTTCGCTAGTTTGCCAAAGGCCATTACTCAATTGCCTTTCTTCCATCCCTTTCTTTGGGAGCCTCTTGCTTTTTTCTTCCCTGTCAATCGCTTCTTTCTGCAGCTGTGAAAAGTGGTCTTTAGGTGCAGGCTCGTTGGTGTCATATGGGAACCTAACTGTTCTGTGGATAGAGCACCAGGCCTGTGCTAAATTTTCCTGGATGATCTACAGCTCGCTGTTTGTTTGCTTTGAGAACTGGAGGTTCTCTAAACACAATGTTAATGTAAATAAGAAAAATCACAAAAAATAAAAACAAATCTAATATTTTGCTCCATATAACCATACCTTTACAATATTACTGGATAATTTTGAATCATTCTTGATGCCAAACTGAAATAAATCACAATTAATAGTTGACCAATTTATCGCCAAGGCCTTCCTTAAATATTAAAACAGCTAAATATGTTCATATATAAAAGAACCATAAACGACTGTTCGCTGTGTAGACTATCAGATTGATGTTAAATGTTTAAATGTTCACTTAAAAAAATTTTGTAAAGTGCTTTTCACAATAAACATTGTTTCAAAGCAGCTTTATTCAGAAAAGAATTGTGTTAAGCACATTCGTTTGGAGTCAGTAAGATTAAGAAATAGATACTTTTCTTAAAGCAAGGATGCATTAAAATTGATCAAAAGTGACAGTAAGTAATATCTGCTTTATATGATGCTTTGTCTGACACATGTACTTCCTCTTTAGAGAATTTGAAGAGAGTTTGGGAAAAGAATTTAGGTTATGGAATTGATAATGCAGATTGGTCTGCAGGATGTAACAATTTGTATCTTAAGTGTACTTCATTGGGGGTTCACAAACTTAATTATAAATTCATTAATAGAATCTCTCTCACACCCTCACGTCTGAAGAAAATGAACAAACTCTTCTGGTCTCTGTTTTAATTGTAAATTCACGGCTTTTGGTACTGTGCATTTCTTCACTGCTTTTGGTACTGTGATAAAATCATCCCTTTCTAGGCCAAAATACATAACTTCCTACAAGAGCTCCTTAAGTTGCAATTTTGTTTCTCGTTGGAATTGTATCTGTTATCTATCGGGGTGGAGACAATGTTGGACTCTCATGCTTAACACAGGTTTTTAATTTTGGTTTATCTGGCAAAGAAATATATATTGTTACTGTGGTCATCCCCTCAGGTGCCTTCTTTCAAAATGTGGATGTCTCAAATATCTGCATTACTACCACTCGAGAAACTCACTTATGATACACATCAAAAGTCTAATGACTTTTGGCAGATATGGGCTGAATTCGAAATCGCCCCCTAATCCTTCATTCAATATTCCCTACGTTAGTCCACTAATACTGTTCACTTGAAGGAGTGCGCGAATTCAGACAGCCGTTGAGCATACATCGGTTGTACACTCATTGCAGTGCAATGTGGGATTGAATAAGTGCACTCAAAGTCCACTATGGTTTCGTACATCACTACAAATGTCTGTCCCCTCAAATAACGCCCTATTTGAGGGTATAGGGGGCGATTTCGGATTCAGCCATGGACACCTCTTCGGCACCATGTTAATAACCTCTCCTGATTCCCTACTCTACTGTGTATATTTACCGTTCTGCCTGAAGTGATTTTTTTTTATGCATTTCTTTTTCCTCCCTTTTGTCCCTTATTGTATGTTTGAGACTGTATTTGTATGCTTCTGGACATTGGATTAACAGACGAATAAAAAAAAAAAAAATGGAAATCATTTGTAACACTATAAATGTTCTTATTTTCACTTTTTTCTATTTCAACTAAATGCTGTTCTTTTGAACTATGTCCATCAAAAAGTCCTGTATAAAAATATTACTGTATTCAACAATAATAATAAGAAATGTTTCTTGAGCAGCAAACCAGCATATTACAGACTTTTTAAAAACTTTTGCTTTAAAGTTTCTGAGATGCAGACTAAAAAAAGGAGAACAGAATAAAACCATGCAATGCCTTAAACTAAGCACGTTACACAAACCATCCTTTTTTATTTCCAGTTTATTGTTGTTGCAATTGGTTGGAGATAAAATCTTTGTATGTATAAGCTCAAGCCAAACAACCCTTCCCCCTGACACATTTGAATTCTCACTGTACCACCTCAAACAAGACTACACTTGTCATTTCAGATATCAGACCCAAGTGATGGGTGAATCTGTCGTTAAATTCCACTCCAAACATACCAGAAACACAAGTATGAAACCATGCGGTTTCCAAGGTTTTAAACAAACAGAGAAGACAACTTATTTTTAGTCTCTATGATCTCATAACCAAACTAATACATGTGACTCCATTAATTATGGCATTGGCCAGTTGCCATCCTGTACAAATTGAGTGATGCAGCTTTTTATGAGGCAGCGGGCTGGCACAAGATGTGCATGTATGTGTCTTCCATTGAATGCCTTCACTTGGCACGGCAGAAAAGGGTTTTTTTTGCAGTCGCGCCTCTTTGCCTTGTCCCTTCTCCCTGAGGATGCCGCTTATCAAGGGTCCACTCTTCGTCCCCTCACTGGCCTTCTGCTATTTTAGGCAGGGTGATCATGGGCCCAGGAGGCAGAAAACCTGCTTCTCCACTCCCATGAGGGAGTAGGCGTTTCACCTCGGTCCCTAAAGTAATCATGGCCCTTCGTTATGGCATTAAAAGCTATAAGAGCATTAGTGTTGGACAGCAGCGCTCCGGGCTTGGAGGTAATAAATCGAGAGGGGGTGGGGGGGAGAAAAGGACACTTCAGGGAATGTGTGGAATTAATTACGTAATTATTATGAGACGAACGATTGCATAGAGCAAGCGAAAGCAGCCTGTTATCTCAATTGGCATCTGATGTGAATGAAAAGCGCAGGTGGTCTGCTTTTACGTGGCGTCTCTACCTTTACTCTATTAATGATAATGCCTGCTCCGAAGACAGCATATCTGTAGTTGATGGTGCTATAAAGACGTCAGTCAAAACACCATGAAAATCAAGCCATTTCATTGACAGGAAGCCAAACTTAAAGAAACCCTATACCTTAAAAAAAAATACAACTCTGTCATCATTTACTCACCCGCCTCATTTAGTTAGACAAATGATGAAAAACTATCAAGCATGTACACTACCGTTCAAAGGTTTGTGGTCAGTAAGATAAAAAAAATAAAAAAAATATTAAAAGTGACATTAAAGACATATATAATGTTATGAAAGATTTGTATAATATAATGTTATAGAAGATTTGTATAAATTATGTTCTTTTGAACTTTCTATTCATCAAAGAATCTTTGAAAAAACGTGTCGTTTTCACAAAAATATTAAGCAGTACAACTATTTTTAGTATTGTTAAGAGATGTTTCTTGAGCACAAAATCAGCAAATTAGAATGATTTCTGAATGTTACACTGAAGACTGGAGTAATGGCTGCTTTGAAAATCAGCTTTTTAATTACATTTTTAAATATAAATTAAACAGAAAATAGTTTTTAAATTGTAATTTAATTTCACAATTTTTCAGTTTTTACTATTCTTGATCAAACAAATACAGCCTTGATAAGCATAAGACGACTTATCAAAAACATTAAATACATCTTAAAGGTCCCCTGACATGAAATTTTCACTTTCTGAGGTTTCTTTAACATTAATATGAGTTCCCCTAGCCTGTATATGGTCCCCCAGTGGCTAGAAATTTCAATCGGTGTAAACCGAGCTTTGGCTATCTTTCTCTGCCTTTGAGAAAATGAAAGCTCAGACGGGCTGATCTTGAATCTCCTCCGTATGACGTCATACGGAGGAAAGGTAACCTCCCCTTTCTCTGCTTTGCCCGCCCAGAGAATTTGGCTCGCCCATGAGAAAATGAGCTAGAAAGTACGAACGCGCGAGCGCGATTTGAGTTTTTCCTCGAGCTCGGTTTACACCGATTGAAATTTCTAGCCACTGGGGGACCATATACAGGCTAGGGGAACTCATATTATATGAGTTATGAGTTCCCCTAGCCTGTATATGGTCCCCCAGTGGCTAGAAATTTCAATCGGTGTAAACCGAGCTTTGGCTATCTTTCTCTGCCTTTGAGAAAATGAAAGCTCAGACGGGCTGATCTTGAATCTCCTCCGTATGACGTCATACGGAGGAAAGGTAACCTCCCCTTTCTCTGCTTTGCCCGCCCAGAGAATTTGGCTCGTCCATGAGAAAATGAGCTAGAAAGTACGAACGCGCGAGCGCGATTTGAGTTTTTCCTCGAGAGATATCATGGCTTGCAAACGAGCGAAGCATGGCAGTTGCTCAGTTTTCGGATGTACAAATGAACCCAAAAGCAGGGCTCAACATAAAAAAAAATCCCCACTGGCCCCCAGGGCCAGTAGATCAGAGTTTTACTGGCCCCTTCTATATTTTTACTGGCCCTGAAAGAAAAAGAAGGAAAAGCACTTTTCCATTAAACTGTATTTATTTTATACATTAGGATTAATTTTTCTTGTCCCCTCACAATGACAGTAAACTAATTATTACATTACATGATGAGTAATATTACGGCCTATTTTCATTTCAAAATGTCGAAATTAGACAAAAGTATATTACTTTGCCTGATTATTTTTGTCATTCGTTTAACATTTATGACCTAAAAAACTGTCAATGAAGAAAAAATGAAGAACGCGCTGAATCTGATTATAACAAGACTGAAGCGAACACAAATTTGTGTAGCTTACACTTAATCACACATTTTTAGGGGGGCTTGGCAGAAGTTTAGGGGGGAATTTGATTACACTTTAGATAGCCCGTCGGCAGGCCGGTTATGCATTTTGGTCGGCTTTTGTTGGAAATTTCCGGCAAACGAAACAGTACATGCCCTCATCGCCTTTCTCCACCCAGGTGTACTGTGTTTTCCATGACACTAGGAATTAGGACTGGGCGATATGGCCAAAAAAATCATATCTCGGTATTTTTTGGTTAAATGGCGATATACGATATATATCTCGGTACTTTCTACGTTTTTCTATTTGGATAAAGAAAATCTGTATTTATTTAAAAAAATGTTATTTCACATCCTGCTCAATGATATCCAAACAATATTGATATTGAAGGATATGGAAACAATATCTAGGGAATGTAATGTAGGCTATGCAATATATTATGTGCAAAAAGGTTGTTAAAATCATATTACATTCTAACATTGTAACATTACAATCTAAAAGCAAAAATAATGCTTTTGTTTTTAAAATGACTAAGGCTAAACTAAAAATGAAAATAAAAACAAAAGCACAAACTAATTATATTAGCCTGCATTTGATTACCCCATTATAATGCTCACTTTCATAAAAACATACTTGTAGGTTTAAAATTCCACATTTGGCACATTTATTGTCTCCAACAACAAATATTTTAGCAATATGTATATTTTAGTCAGAATTATTGCGCTACTCTTCTATTGTGCTCGTCTGTTTGGCGCGCGTGCTCGCGGCGGCGCTCATTCACGGGAGCTTGAATTTTAGCGGAGATTCACTTGCAGAAGCTCGTCCTCTCCTGACAGTGAAATGGACATATTTGTTTGACTTTCTAACATTTACAGATGGAGAATATACCTGTGAAATGTAAGTTAAGCACTGAGGAAAGCACCACGTCTCAAACGCATTAAACTGCGCAAGTATTTATCTCTCTCAGTCAGCAACAGTATCTGTCAGAGCATCTGACAGGGCAAGCTACTTTAAACTTGTTAACTATATATTACCAGTATAAGCTTGTGTCATGTTTAGGACAAATTGTACTAGGTTCTTTCACTGTAGGAGCTCACACTGCGACCTCCGCTATTTTTCAGATGTGCTCGTATCAAACTACTGTATCGAAACGGTATTGCCTCATTCCATATCGTTTAAAAAAAAAAATCGATATACTGTAGCCTACAAACTCGATTTACCGCCCAGCCCTAGGAATGTCCTCTTTCTCGTATCAGCCTCATAGTTCTTTGACATTTTAACACGTTATAAATAACCTGAAGTAACATTGACACTCTTCGCGCCACTGTATATGCCGTTTGCTGTTTGTTTTGCTGAGGGCCAGTGACTGGCCAATCAACTAGCCCGACATACTCTTTTACTGGCCCCGGGCCATCGGGCCATTGCTTATGTCGAGCCCTGCCAAAAGTATTTTTTAGTTCCTTTATCCGAGCCTCTGAAGAAACAATGGGTTCATTTTATTTTCTCTGGAAATGCGCCGACACAACTTCCCAAAGTTTTGTATGGTCCAAACATTTCACCGACGACTGTTTCCTCAACTTGGGCCAATACAGAGCTGGCCTCGATGAACGTCTGAAAATAAATCGATCGAGCCACCAAGCAACAATTTCTGATGTGTAGCCTAATTGTTCAAGTTCAGACAGGTTTTCTTTCTCTCAAAATCGTTCAATACTGTTTATGCATAAGTCAAGCCAGTGACTAAAATATCAACTTCACATCGTTTCTTTTAGTAGGATGAAAATAATCTTATTTAAATTGTTAACAAATTATACAGAAAGCGATCAAAGAACAATCTTTCCACACAGCGCGAGTTTATCAGGACAACTCATTATGAAATCAATGACGCACGTTACACTCTACAACGAAGCTCTCACAGTACATCATCGTGTTTGCATTGGTGAAAGCATTAGAGAGAGTGCAGAAACAGCGTTACAATGATAAGATCTTCATTCTCGCGATCAACAGACTGTCATCTGCTGCTCAATGCTCATCATGGCAACATTTTATGTGATGGGAATAGATCTAAATACTTAAAAAACTTCTCACGATTCGTTAATCTCGATAGCTGTAATAGTAAAAACCTATAATAGCTGTAGTAAAAGTATTCGAGAGAGTTTCACATGTAATACGTAGCTATTTCATATGCAAGCATGTCAGCCAATCACAGCAGTGGCTGGCTACACTGAATCCCACAGCAGACACGCCCCCTTCAAACAGAGCGTTCAAATCAGAGGCTAAAATCAGTTTTCAAGCTCCAAAATAATGATGTCAAAATAAATTTTATGTAAAAACAAAAAACAGTCATGATATTCTTTTTTTTAAAAATCAATGTGTGTTACATGGATGAAACTAAGTCATACAGGTTTGAAATGACAAAAAGGTTACAAAATGGTGACTGATTTTCTATTTTTCTGTAAACTTACCCTTTAAAACTGACAAAAAAGAGGCACAAGCCTCATAATTCAACAACCCGCAATTAAGAGTCAATGCAGCATGAATGAAAGCAATGAAACAATTGCCAATGTGAATGGCACATTTGCCACAGACCACTGGTTAAGGGCCAATCAGGCTTGCAGGGGTCATGTGCAGACATTCGGTCCCATGAAACATTTGGCTGTGAAGTGGGTTAAAAACCCGCTGGCACTGGGTAAAGAGTGCTGCATGGCACCAGAAATCCATCATGAGCCTTGCTAACCTGACAGGTGAACAAACACACAACAAGCAGGCCAGAAGGGTCCTCATCTGCTAAAAAGGACCGCACAAGGGAACGAACAACAATACTCTGCATTCAAAAGAACGGGGAATAACAGCATTTCACGCTTGTAGACCAAAGGTCTACAAATAATGGAGTTCTCTACTTTTCTGTCATGTTAACTTCCTCCTGAGCTTTAAGCTATGCCTTTCACAGCCTTTAAACAAAGTGAAACTAAATTCTTAGTCTTATCAGTTTGGTGAACATCTGTAAGACATTAGATTACTGCGTGTAGGAATAAAATGCCCACCACAACAGGCCCAAGCTTAGGCTAATATATAGATAATTTACGGTTATTTAAAAAAGCCTAGTTGGAACGTGTCCAAATCGTTTAAAAATGTGTTTAGATAAGGGGAAGACTTACCGTTATCAAACTCATCTGGAATCTGAAAAAGAAAAATAGAGAGTTAAGATACAAGCAGACATGTTTTTCGTGCACACTGGTATTTCAAGTTGTGTTTGTACCACGTGGGTATGAGGAGAGTTCAACCAAGTGCCTTTATACAAACTAGAAAGAGACAATAGCATGACACCCACACCAAATTACCGGTAAAAGTTTGAAAAAACTGCCTTGAGTCTTTTAGACTGACAGGGTTAAATGAATGGAAACCTTCAGACACCATGTAAAAATAGTGTAATTCTTTGTTATGTTTCCTGAATTCCAAAGAACCATAAGGAAATGTTTCTCACACACACACACACACACACACACTCAGAATCCATCCTGCTTTAAAGAGCTCGAGCATTTAAAGTGGCAGACGACAAACCCGCAGTGCGTGCTTAGAATAAATACCTTTTTTGGCATAGAACTGTTAGACATTATTGTAAAAATAAATAAATTATATATTGGTCTTTTAATAACAATACACCAGTTCACCAATAAGCACCAAACCAATGAATATTCAGCTGCATCTGTCAGCATGTTCTGGCCCACTTGGGATCCAGGATCACCACATGCTGCCTTTTGGGACCCCTCACAGCACAACAGGGGGCAGAGGGCCTGTTTAAAACCACTGTCATTCTCCTACTACTGCAATCATTCATTGTACTGGAATCGTTTTGGCGCCCTCCACTGGACAAAACAGCACACAGACTAAGGTTTGTTAAGGGCTAAGTGGTATTTTGGGTTGAAGGGGAAAAATGAATACTCAAGCTCCAACTTTCTGGTTTATCACAGACAAAAGTCACTCAATAACAATTGTAAGAGTTAAAGAAAAGTTAAGAAAAGCATCAACACCTTGTTGAGAATGAAGAATATACACCTGCCTCCTGCTGGTGAACTATATTTTTGCACTTTGTCAGATTTGAAGAAAACAAGGAACACTGCCTGATTTATCTGATTTGTTAAAGGGAAACTTCACCCAAAAATTTGAATTCTGTCATCATTTGCTCACCATGTCATTTCAAACATGTATGACTTTTTTTTGTAAAACAAAAAAAAAATATTTTGAGAAACGTCTCAGTGTTGTTTTGTCCATACAATGGACAGCATTGTACGGACAGAACTATTGGTTCTCAACATGCTTCAAAATATCCTCTTGTGTTCCACAGAAGAAGGGGAATTTAAAAAAAAACTTTTGGCTAAATTATAAAAAGATAAAGAAGCCCGATAATACAATGAGAGAGATTGCCGATTATATTATTATAGCCATATGGATAATATAGAGTTATGGAACTAACACACAGGACTCTGGGCAGCATATGCAAGTGCCAACTTGTCAATGCCAAGTGAGCATGCAAGCAAAAACAGACCAAATCTGTTTTTGTATTTATTTGCTATGACTGAGCTATGAATTTTTATCATAAAAAAAACACAACCGCTGAAGATGAAAGCTGTGTAACTACACTGTACTCTTATCTACCCACAAACACACTGCTGTTCAACATAAATTATTATTCCAGGTGAACATACACTACCATTCAAAAGAATAAATTACATTTTGAAATACATGCAAATAGAAAACAGTTATTATAAATTGCAATAAATATTTCACAGTATCACAAGTTGGTGAGCATAAGTGTTTTTTTCACTAACAAAAAAACCTACCGACCCCAAACTTCTGAACAGTAGAGTATGTGAAATTTGTACATTTTTATAATCAGCCCTGAAGAATATTTGAGTTGAGATCTTTGGAGGAAATGCGCTAATGCTTCACATGCTGAAGCCCAGAAACAAACTTCAACAGCCACTGTAGCCATTATATTATGAACCAATAAAGACTCGATTTTGTTCTGTGAGAAGAGGATTCAGCCTTTGGTCTCACGCCGTCACTTCGCTTAAGTGCCCTTCAATTAAGACCTTGGGTTGTGAAAAATGGCACCCAAAAGCCTGGCACACTCCACACACATCTCCAAAAAGGCCTCAACTACATGTGAAGTGTGCCCTGTTAGGAGACCACCAGTCCAAAAGGGTCAATATACCAAAGAAGTGTCGGCCGCAAACATTACCACATTGTGCTAAGTCTGTCCTTCAAGTCACTTGTTTCTGTAGGACATCATTCAAAGGTTTAATTCGCAGGACAAATGCTGTATAAACAGTCTGTTTGAAGGCTATGCTTTGGTGAAGGTTCCTCCTTTCAAAATAGTCCTTGAGCTAAACTGTAACGTAAAAACTGTTCCTGCTTGCAGGAAATGATAACAGCCAAGCACTTTTCTTGTAAACACATAAATCAAGTAGAATGTGTGCTATTGTCGAATGTGAAACAGTGGGTGATGACAAAATGCACTTACAGCGTTCTTTCCCAAACACTTTCCTGTTACAGGTTAAACTGGTTGAATGTTCTTTTGAGACCTTTCGACAACTAAATGACTGAGGTGCGAAAACACTCTGGCAGTGTGACAAGACCTTCTGTCGAGAAGGCTAATGAGTGAAGTCTCGCTCTGTGTCTTGTGCATGAGACGCGTGACTCATCTTTGAAAGGCCAGGCACACTCCATTCACAAGTCTCATGACATCTCAACTGCCTGCGAAGTGTGCCCATTCAGAGTGATTCACAGGCTACAGGAACACAAGCTTAGAGGTAGCAATCTTCCCGAGGAAACACCTCAAGCCTTTTTACTAGGGATGCACTGATACCACTTCCTCTAGAATGAGTCCTATACCACTAATTTTATTTTTGGTAATCGCAGATTACTGAGTGATTGCAATTGTAATTTATAAAAATATATATTGGGTAGAGAAACCAGTATATGAATCATATTAGTTGGCTTACTTCATTTAGCAAATAGTGATTTTCATGTTTAATTATGACTGTTAACATGTATTGTACAAGCTTCTATTACTTTTCACTGTTCATTCTACTAAAAAAGTATATGATCAATAAGTTATGGCAACATGTTTTTATATTGCTTTAACTGATCAAAATAAGTTAAGCAATTGTCAACTTTTTAAGTTATACAAGATTCAGCTCATTTTTAAGTCTGTTTAATGTAATTTAAGTTGAAATGACTTAAACATTCAAGTTGATTGTACTTAGAAATAAGGCAGCAACTTTTTTTTTTTAGTGTCCATCGTATTCAATCTATAATTTAATGGCACATTGCACCTTTAGAGCTGCTCCATTGCAGCGGCACAATACTCACATGATGTTTTCCTGTGATAATACACGGGAACCGCTCATTATACGTAAATCATGTAACAGTTGTCATGTTTACTTACATGTACGATTTAGTGTGCTTATGTGCTGAGAAGTGCTTTCTCTCTCTCCTGACCTTCATCTCCAGAATGTTCATCTCGGTGCATCCCAGATTAGATATATTTACTTCATAGACATCTTTAATCTCTGATGTCTCCATATCTCTGTTTGTTCTGTTGTCATGTTTCTTTGTCTGGACACAAACACTGTACACACACACTGTGTGGTATTGGTTTTTGGTATTGGAGCATTTTAGGAGTACCAGTACACAAGCCCAGTACCAGACCCAATTCCAATACCAGTATCGGTGCATCCCAACTTTACACATAGCAACCTGATGTGAAGGTTAACCACTTAAAGGGATAGATCATCTAAAACCTTTTGAGAGGCTGGAAACTACTGTACTATTTTAAAATGACTGCTGATGTCAGAAGCATATGACCAGGACTAGAGATGCACCGATCGACCGGCCAGGGACCGGAATCGGTCAATTTTCCCCATGATCGGCCCGGACCGGTAACCGACCGGTCAGTCTCGCGTCTTTCCGACTCTGAGCCGGTCTGTTTTGTTTCCAGTGGCACAGGCAATAACGTCAGCTGCACGTTCTCGCTCTCTTCTCTCTGACGGCAAATGACACACACCCGCCTCTCTCTCTCACTCTCTCACTCTAAATAGTGCTTGTATTGTGCATAATTTTACTAATTCCCGCAGGTTTCGGACTCACACCAAAAGCGCGCACACCACTGATCTATATAAGTGCAGCGCACAAGCCGCCTCAGTCTCAAGCAGCTTGTGAGTCACAAGTACCAAAATGAGCGGCTTACTGCGCTTAAAAGGTCAAATACACACAAAATGATGTCAAAATGCCAGTCTTGGCGAGTATTCAGTTACACAGTCAGTTTTGGAACCTAATTAGTTGAAAAAGATAATGCTTGTTAATTGTAAGCAATAATCTGTATTTGATTTTTACAATGAAGACTATCCAGTGTTATTTTACATTTGATTAAGCACTTTTTTTGTAGTATTTCTTACCTGAATATACTGTATACCCACCTGAAAAACTTAAAGCCGTGTTTATTTCATCTCTCTTTATTCCATTGCATTTATTTGCGCTGTTGTTTGAAAATTGTTTATTTGTTCTTATTTTATTTGTCTTTTTACTTTTTACTAAATTTTGTATTGAAGAAAAGTAGATTTTTGTTTGTATATGCTGTCCATTATAATTCTTTGAAAGAAAATCGGAATACATCGGTATTGGCAGGTCACACTTACAATTTTCTTGGCCGATTCCGATTTCCAATTTTTATTTGCAATCGGTGCATCTCTAACCAGGACCGGCGGAATTTCAAACAACAAATTTCGGTCAAAATGGATTTAGAACAAAACAGTGACATTTATGTAGCGTTGCTCCGATGACGCATTTTGACTGTCAGTCTATTTTGCGCAAATTTTGGATAAGCTTGATAACATGACAGCTGTGTGGACGCTAAGGCTGAGTTGACAATATCTATTTCTCATTTTTAATTAATACTGATATTGATTCTAAAAATTCAAGATTAAAATTTTAGTCTAAGTTGTTTTCTGTCAATAAAACAGATTGCTTGTAAAAAGTGTTGAGTTTGAAAAGGAAAAAGTGTTTGCAAATTCAAAGGAATTTGAAAATAAAATGGTATCAAACAAATAATTTTCTGCCCTAAATTTAAAGGTACATGGTTTTTAAATGTCCACCTGGCAAAAAAAAAAAAAAAAAAA